ACCCATCACCCCATTGTGGGGTCGGGACATCCCTGGATTGGGGACACCCCCCTTGGGGCACCCACCACCCCATTGTGGGGTCAGAACCCCCCTTGAGGCACCCACCACCCCATGGAACCCCCCTGGACTGGGGACATCACCCTTGGGGCACCCAACACCCCACTGTGGGGTCAGAATCCTCCTGGATTGGGGACACCCCCCCTTGGGGCACCCATCACCTCATGGAGTCCCCCTGGATTGGGGACACCCCTCTTGGGGCACCCAAGACCCCATTGTGGGGTCAGGACCCCCCTTGAGGCACCCACCACCCCATGGAACCCCCCTGGATTGGGGACATCACCCTTGGGGCACCCAACACCCCACTGTGGGGTCAGAATCCTCCTGGATTGGGGACACCCCCCCTTGGGGCACCCAACACCCCATTGTGGGGTTGGGACCCCCCTGGATTGGGGACACCCCCCTTGGGGCACCCAACACCCAAACACCCCCAAATCACCCTCAAGTCCCACCAAATCCCTCCCAGACCACCCCAAATCCCCCCCAGATCTCCTCAAATCACCCTCAAATCTCACCAAAGCCCCCCCAGACCATCCCAAATCGACCCTAGACCTCCTCAAACCCTCCCAAATCATCCTCAAGTCCCAGCAAAGCCCCCCCAGACCACCCCAAATCCCCCCTAGACCTCCTCAAACCCTCCCAAATCACCCTCAATTCCCACCAAAGCCCCCCCAGACCATCCCAAATCCCCCCTAGATCTCCTCAAATCACCCTCAAGTCCCACCAAAGCCCCTCTAGACCACCCCAAATCCCCCCTAGCCCTCCTCAACCCCCCCAAATCACCCTCAAGTCCCACCAAATCCCTCCCAGACCACCCCAAATCCCCCCTAGACCTCCTCAAACCCCCCCAAATCACCCTCAAGTCCCACCAAATCCCTCCCAGACCACCCCAAATCCCCCCCAAACCTCCTCAACCCCCCCCCCCAGACCCTCCCCAGCGCCCACCTTGGTGTCCCCGGGGGAGATGTGTTTGTAGGGCCCGCTGTCCTCGTCGTCGGGGTGGGTGCTGTGGGTGCGGATGCAGTTGATGTGCCCGGGGATGATGAGGGAGAAGATTTGCTTCCCGGTCCAGAGCGGGCGCGGCTTCAGGATGGCGGGTTGGGGCACCTTCCCGTCCCACGTGGACAGGAACATCAGCAGGTTCATCACCTCCCCCTGGGGACACCCCAGAACACCCCAAAACCTTCACGTCAGTCCAGGAGATCCCATGGGATATCCTAAAACCCCCCAAAACACCCCAAAACCTTCACGTCAGTCCAGGAGATCCCATAGGATATCCTAAAACCCCCCAAAACCTTCACATCAGTCCAGGAGATCCCATAGGATATCCTAAAACCCCCCCAAAACCTTCACATCAGTCCAGGAGACCCCATAGGATATCCTAAAACCACCCAAAACCTTCACATCAGTCCAGGAGATCCCATGGGATATCCTAAAACCCCCCCAAAACCTTCACATCAGTCCAGGAGATCCCATGGGATATCCTAAAACCCCCAAAAACCTTCACATCAGTCCAGGAGATTCCATAGGATATCCTAAAACCCCCCAAAATACACCTCAGCCAGCAGAACCTGGGGGGTGTCCTAAAACCCCTCAAAATGCCCCAAAACACCCCATAAACCCCTTCAGGGTGGAGGGTTGGGGCACCTTCCTGTCCCACGGGGACGGGAACATCAGCAGGTTCATCACCTCCCCCTGGGGACACCCCAAAACACCCCAAAACCTTCACGTCAGTCCAGGAGATCCCATAGGATATCCTAAAACACCCCAAAACCCCCCAAAACCTTCACTTCAGTCCAGGAGATCCCATAGGATATCCTAAAACCCCCCAAAACCTTCATTTCAGTCCAGGAGATCCCATAGGATATCCTAAAACCCCCCAAAACACACCTCAGCCAGCAGAACCTGTGGGGTGTCCTAAAACACCTCAAAATGTCTCAAAACGCACCAAAAATGCCTTAAAAACCTCCCCAGAACACCCCAAAACCTTCCCATCAATCAAGGAGACTCCATAGCATATCCTAAAACCCCCCAAAACCCCCCAAAACCTTCACATCAGTCCAGGAGATCCCATAGGATATCCTAAAACCCCCCAAAACCTTCCCATCAGTCCAGGAGACCCCATGGGATATCCTAAAACCACCCAAAACACCCCAAAACCTTCACATCAGTCAAGGAGACCCCATAGCATATCCTAAAACCCCCCAAAACCTTCCCATCAGTCCAGGAGATTCCATAGGATATCCTAAAACCCCCCAAAATACACCTCAGCCAGGAGAACCTGGGGGGTGTCCTAGAACACCTCAAAATGCCCCAAAACACCCCAGAAACCCCTTCAGGGTGGAGGGTTGGGGCACCTTCCTGTCCCACGGGGACGGGAACATCAGCAGGTTCATCACCTCCCCCTGGGGACACCCCAAAACACCCCAAAACCTTCACGTCAGTCCAGGAGATCCCATAGGATATCCTAAAACCCCCCAAAACCTTCACATCAGTCCAGGAGACCCCATAGGATATCCTAAAACCACCCAAAACCTTCCCATCAGTCCAGGAGATCCCATGGGATATCCTAAAACCCCCCAAAACACCCCAAAACCTTCCCATCAGTCCAGGAGATCCCATGGGATATCCTAAAACCCCCCAAAACACACCTCAGACAGCAGAACCTGGGGGGTGAGCGTGTCCTGCACGATGCCCACGGACCCCAAACCCCCTCAAACCACCCCAAATCCATCCCAAACCCCTCAAAACCCCCCCAGGACCCCCCCAGCCCCCTCACCCTCTCGAGGCAGACGTCCCTCTTGGTGAACCTGAGCATGGCCATGAGCGTGTCCTGCACGATGCCCACGGACCCCAAACCCCTCAAACCACCCCAAAACCCCCTGAAACCCCCTCAGGACCCCCCCAAAGGCCTCACCCTCTCGAGGCAGACGTCCCTCTTGGTGAACTTACAGCGGTGGTGAGTGTGTCCTGCACGATGCCCACGGACCCCAAACCCCCTGAAACCACCCCAAAACCCCCTGAAACCCCTCCAGGACCTCCCCAAATCATGGACCCTCTCCAGGCAGACGTTCCTCTTGGTGAACCTGAGCACGGCCATGAGCGTGTCCTGCACGATGCCCACGGACCCCAAACCCCCTCAAACCACCCCAAATCACCCCAAAACCCCCTGAAACCCCCTCAGGACCCCCCCAAAGGCCTCACCCTCTCGAGGAAGACGTCCCTCTTGGTGAACTTGCGCACGGCGGTGAGCGTGTCCTGCACGATGCCCATGACGGGCCGGTTGCTCTGGGGGGTGACGATCATGCGGGGCACCATGGCCAGCTCCTGGATCTCCGCCCGCGTCTCCAGAGACTGCGGCAGGTGCAGGTTCATCTCGTCCCCGTCGAAGTCGGCGTTGTACGGGGTGGTCACGCTGGGGGGGGACAGCAAAGGGGTCAGGGGGACAGCAAAGGGGTCAGGGGGGACAGCAAAGGGGTCAGGGGGACATGGAGGGGTCAGGGGGACATGGGGTGGGCTCAGGGGGGCACAAGGGGGTCCCACAGGGGGGTCAGGGCAGGTGCAGGTTCATCTCGTCCCCGTCGAAGTCGGCGTTGTACGGGGTGGTCACGCTGGGGGGGGACAGCAAAGGGGTCAGGGGGACAGCAAAGGGGTCAGGGGGGACACAGAGGGGTCGGGGGGGACACAGAGGGGTCGGGGGGGACACAGAGGGGTCGGGGGGACATGGGGTGGGGTCAGGGGGGCACAGGAGGGGTGACAGGGGGGTCAGGGCAGGGGCAGGTTCATCTCGTCCCCGTCGAAGTCGGCGTTGTACGGGGTGGTCACGCTGGGGGGGGGGACAGCAAAGGGGTCAGGGGGACACAGAGGGGTCAGGGGGACAGCAAAGGGGTCAGGGGGGACACAGAGGGGTCGGGGGGGACACAGAGGGGTCGGGGGGACATGGGGTGGGCTCAGGGGGACACAGGAGGGGTGACAGGGGGGTCAGGGCAGGTGCAGGTTCATCTCGTCCCTGTCAAAGTCGGCGTTGTACGGGGTGGGCACGCTGGGGGGGGGACAGCAAAGGGGTCACGGGGACATCAAAGGGGTCAGGGG